ATTACTATTGTGAGAATTTTTCTTATGTAAAAAAAGTGTTACTTAAATTAAATCATGATGATTCGACTACTATAAAAAGAGCAAAAGAACTTATGTCAAAATCAAGTTTAGAGTTTAATCTAATTAATATAAAATCTAATTTTGGTTTCATTCCTTCAGAAATTAAAAATCTGGAGGTTTCTGGAATCTTATTATCAGAATCCATTAATAAAATAAAACAAATTGATACTACATTGTCCCTTGCTCCTAATGTAATTGAAGAAACAATATCAAACAAACTGAAAAATGTTTTGATGATAACTAATGAGTTCAAAGTTTTAAAAAATATATCTGCTATTCTGGACGGTGATAATACAACAAGTAGAGATGGTATTCCGGAAGACCTTTAAATGATATGGTTCATTTCAAATATGCCCCTGTTACTTCTGTGGACGTTGAACGAAGTTTTTCTTCGTATAAAAACATTTTATCTGATCGCCGTCACAGCTTCCTGTTTGAAAATCTTAAGAATCATCTAATTGTGCAATGCAATAATATGTGTTCTGGTGAAAAAAAATATAATATAATTTTCATTAAATTATTTTAATTTATGCTTTTATTGATTTTTCAGAATAATTGTATCAAGAAGCGGTTACATTCACAAATCTATTATGTTCATAATTAATAATATATTTATTTTTAAAATACATTTTTTTCGCTCATCTAAGTACATTTTTAGGTCATTTTTGCATATTTTTTTTTAGTGCATTTTCGTATATTTTTAGGTCGTTAAATCCTAGCTCTAATTATAAGGATGAACATAGGTGCCTACTTTTTGGGGACTCAAACACCCATTAAAATTACTGAAGGGTGCTAGACACCATTAGAATATTGAAGATCTATAACGTGTATTTATAACCAAGTTTCAACAATGTTAGAATAAGCAAACGACTATTGAAATAAAATTCTAGCTGTGTTAACAATTTAAATTTTGAAAACGAAAAGAAATTTATTGTATTAATAAGAAAATATAAAATAGCACGATTTTGGTAACCACTAACTAACATCGAGTTAGATATCTTTTATAGCACTGCAAAGAGACGGGTACCTAACCTAACCGGAACCTAACTTTTTTTTTTCTTCGTGTTATCAAGAGCCGGAGGAAGGACTGCTGTTGGCATTATTTTCCTTCCAGCCAACATCGTTTTTTGTATATAAAATAATAAATTACAATAATATCTTACAAATATAAGAATATGAGCCTGTCAGGGAGCGAACTCTGAGGGCTAACAATGAACGTCTTTCGACAATACAATTTAATAACTTACATAATTTTAACTTTAATTTACAAATCACTTTAATTAACAATATTGCGGTTTACAAGTTATTTATATCATGCCGTACGCCATTCTGGGTGTCCCTTTCTCGGTGGCTTCTCCACCCGGCTCGCTAGCCCGCCGGTCTCGAAGTCGCGTACGTTGCTCAAACGTTCTCCCATCCTATCACCTTGCCTCAGCTGCCTGCCTCGTCCTTTCTTCTTGCTCTTTCAGAGTCAGGATTGATTCCACCATACGGTACAATAGCCGGAAATGTTTCTCCTCGTCATCGGTCGGTATATCTTCAAATGCTGGACCACACAGGATCTCCGGGAGATACTCGGCGCTGGGCGGTCTGCTCAATCGGGAGCCGAGCTCCACCCTGTGGCCACTGAAAACGTGCACTCGAAAAGCATGTGGTCCACGAAGTCGTTTTCGTGGCCACAGTGGTGGCATCGAGGTGAAGCGGCCCTGGCTATCCGGCACAGGTAACTTTGGAAGCGACCGTGCCCCGTCAGCGCCTGCGTCATGTGGAAGGATAGTGGCATCCACGGCACGGTTCTTCCGAGCCACCTCTTCACGTCTGGCAACACCTTGTGTGTCCAAGATGCTTTAGTCGTTGTGGACGACCCCTCCTACCACAAGGCGATCGTAGCATCGCGCTATTCCTTCCTTGGACGTTGGGCGCATGTCCGGGGCTCTCGGAGCGGTCCATCTTGTTCTTATTCTCTGCTTCTCGAGGGCGAGGAGGTCAGCGGGAGCATGGCGGCCAGGAATAGTGCGGCTTCGTCGGATACCGTGCGGTATGCACGAATCAACCTCAAAGTTGCGGCTCGATGCGGGCGGACTAAGTTTACCCTGGTCCGGGCAGAGGCAGCCACCGGTTTAATCCACACCGGGGCTCCGTACATAAGCTGACTCTCGACGACGGAACACAGCCTAACCTAACATAACCAGACGGGTACTGCAAAGATTCAAAATTTAAAAACATTTTGAAGGTCTCCAGTGACACAAAATCGTCGGGTATAATTAAATTCGAAATTACATTTTTTCAATGTACAACATGGTATAATATAATATTTATATATATATATCATAAAAATCCATAAGAAAATGTAAACGTTTTTAGTTAAGTAGTAAATACATGGCACCGAAAGGCGCAATTAGGAGAGCCAAAATTAAAATTTTAGGGGGCTAAATTGTAAATAACCACCCCCCCCTTTGATAAGGCAATTAAATGCATTATTTAAATTTTAGGGTGACATTATATTGACCTCCACCGAATTTCGCAGTTATGCCCATGATACCAACTACCAAGGCACCCATTAAGTTTTTTAAAACCTGACACCTATGAATATATGTTAGACACATCTTAAAATGGAAAATTATATTAATTGAGCCACAAGTCGAATCGGTGAAAGACATAAGCGCCAAAATGTGATAAGAAAAAAAAAATCGTACCTTACAAAAGCGCCAAAATCGTATCGTACATAAGCGCCAAAATGAGATGAGAAAAAAAATCGTATTTTACAAAAACGCCAAAATCGTATCGTATATAAGCGCCAAAATTCTAGGTACCTGTGTGCTACGCAGTGGCGGCTCGTGCCTAGGTGTGCAAGTGTGAGCTCACCACATATATTAATTAGATATAATAGTGAAAATGTATAATAATAATGCATTTATGTATAATAATAAATTAATTTTAACAAATATCTGTTTAACTGTATTTATTATATAAAAAAATTAAATTTTAAAAACAAACAAACGACAATTATTATTATACTCCGAATTAATATTTTTTAAAGTACTTAATATTATTTTCTAAAACTGTATAATCTCAAAATTAAAAATGCTAATAAATATTTTACTAATTACATTTATGCTTAAAACAGACTAATTTTTTTAAAATAAACTTTTGCAATAATTACACACCGCCTACTTTGAACACCACGAGCCGCCACTGGTGCTACGGTTAAAAGATATTAAATAACAGATAATATTATAATTAGAACTATATCGATCAAAAACTCCAAACGTTTAATCTTAATCGATAAATGTATTATTTTACAAAAACTCAACCAATTTATTAAATTTATATTTATTGCATGTATACATACCTATACTCATATTATATTTTAACAATTTATTATTGAACATTTTTTTAATGTAATATATTATATGAAATAAAATATTAAATTTGGCGCAAATGATAGGTCATTATTATACCTTTGGCGCTTATGCCATGTGTTAAGTACAACAGGTATACAATATTAGATTGGCGCTTATGTCATACAAATTTTGGCGCAAATGATAGGTCATTTTTGTACCTTTGGCGCTTATGTCATGTAGCCAGTCGAATATATTATAATAAATATTCATCATTAGTGTAAGGTACTTTGAACTTCAATCATCGGCGCTTCTTTATAGGAAGCTGAATTTGCCCACCCCTCTCTCAAATACACCACTGGTTATAGGCACATTATAGGTTTGTTCGTTTTAACAAAAAGTGTACACTTTTTCACAACAAGTGTACACCAAAGAGTGTTTTGATTTTGAAATAGTGTAGTCGTACACGCTATTTGTTTTAAAAAAGTTATACATCAGTGTCACTTTTTCACACCGACCATAGAGTGGGTGTAGCTGGTGTAGGTAGTGATGGTTATCATTTCTTATCAGCGAATAGTTGATTCCACTGATAGTCCATTAGATGGCGCTGCTGTTATCGAATAAATTCAACTCTATAAGAGCGGTTAATGCCGTTAGGTTAAATTAAATCTCACTAACCTCGCGTGGCTCGTGACACCGCCCGTGACTTCGTTACCAAGTCAACTCGAACAATGGCCCACGAGCCAAGCGTCATTACAAGACTTGAATTTCCATGTTCTAGAGAGAAATTTCAAATTTCAAATTATGACTGCAATTGTCCAAAATTACATTGTGATGAGGATGATATACCATTGAACACTTAATAGTGAATTAGACAATTGTATGGAACAAGATTATTGGTTAACATTTAAATTATCAATGGTTATTAGGTTTTGAGTAACATCAAAAAAATAAAATCATTTTTGTGCAAAAATTAACATTAATCCTAATTTTTTTTTTTACCTTTCTAGTCCCTAATCACCAGATAGATTCATTTACCAATTAGAAATGATGCCGAAGTAAAAAATTGGTGAATTTTCTTACCACAAGTTGCTGACGGACTGAAGAAAACACATCATAGTAAAACCCATACGTTTATCGCAAAATTAAATATTGAAAAAAATTCTAAACATTTTGAATTTGTAAAAAACATATCGCTGTTGCGAATGACCCAAAACAATCATCATTAAGATGGATTGCTTCAAGTGTTACCAAAAAATAAACAACTTTGTAAATAGATCTACTATGAGTTGCCATATATACTACTCTGTTATCTTGAACACAGTATAATAATATTTTTATGTTAAATAGTGTTGCATGATGCATATCATTAATAAAAATTATGATGTTTAAATGACTACAAGTTAATTGGTTGTACAGGGACAATGTATACATGTAACCTTAAAATGAAGGATAAATAATGAAAAAACCTTTCATTATATCATAATACACAACACTTACATAAAAATTCAATTATACAGGTATTTAAACTTGTCTACAATAATTTTAACTAGGAGGTACCTAATTAATATCCAATACAAAACTATATAATACATTTTACACATCAATATTTATTTATCGTTTTTTTTTAAACAAATTATTTTTAGACTTATATTCTTTAAGAATTTCAGAACAGTTAACCAAATGTTCTTCGGGTTCCCATGTGTTCAGATTCAACTCACAGTTTTTCCATTGAATAAAGTACACAATTTCATTACCTATTACTTGATGAAATATTATTTTTTCAACTTCATACTCTTCTGAATTTTCATCTGAAAAATATATATGTGATAATTTATTATATAGGTACCTCACACTTAAAAAATAAAGCGGTTGAACTCAAATTTTAATACTTTTTAAACTAAGTATGTACTTATAATTTATTTTTTATTAATAAAATCTCCAGATCATGATCATAGATCACTAATATCTACTTAATTGAATATAGAGATGCCCCCGGGATACCCATTGTGTGTTTTTATATTCTACCTGTACACAAAGATTTAATACACTTAATAAATTACATTAATATATAAAAACTTTTGTCATTGTACCAATTCATAAAAATATTTTTATTTTTTATTAATTATCTCGCGGCATTAAAGTCATTGGGAACTACAGAATAATACTGTCTATTGTATTATACAAATACACAATTGTGTCTATGCTGTAGATTACATAGGTACAACTGAAAAACGAGGTACAAAAATTATAGTTAGATAAATGACACCTACAGCATCCTCTTGCTGAAGACTGTCCAATCATACTTTTATTCTTTTTATATTTCAAAACTTTTACAACACTATTATTAATAAAATTGCCATAAATAAAGTATTTTTATTTAATTTTCACATATCAAGAAGGAAAATATAATTAAATTAATATTATCAAAATTATAGGATAAGAAAAAGGTATACATCGTTTGCTCCGATCGATATTCAAATGTAAACATTATTGTATGACAATAGCACCGTTCGATTTTGATAACTAAGAATCTGTTTATACATGTTGGATTGGATAAATTCACAATTAAATTCAATGACATTTAGTAATGGACGTTGGATTCATTAATTTTGTTTTAAATGTTATTAACCTTAAGTATAATTAACTAGGATATTAACAAATTATAAAAATTAAACTAACTTAAGACAGTTTTTGTATTTTATTTTTAATAAAAAATTATTTTAATTGTATTTTGAATGGCACAATTTATGTATACCTTTTTTGTACAGGTGCAATAGATGTATATTATACAAGTAGTCTCCCAAATTCGGGGCAATTGATGAACACCACCAGGAACAGGTGATCATTCCCCTTAAACCACCTTCAACCACTGTTCATATCATAAAGTCTTAATACCCACAATGAGTACTTAACTAATCATCTTACCGTCGGACATATTGGCTGACTGGAACAAACTAGCTGTGGAGCAGGTAAATGGTAATCCAAATGACTGGTTAGTGACCACTGGCCGTCGACGTCGGTATTCAAGTCAGCGGCAACGTTTAGGGGTGTCAATGAACTAAACCGCGTAATGCTTATATACACGACTACAAGAGTGAGTATGGCGCCTCGAGTTCGGCAATGAACAGCATGACCTGAGGATAATAACGATCAACGATGGAACACGTGTTATCACTGGTATGCTGTCAACATACACTACTGCCTACTTGATAGTTTGATACTTACAACTAGTAACTATATACTTATAACTTCACGAGTCACAACATTCTACTGTTGTCTGTGACATGCACATACTCTCACAGACCTTATCCTAATACTTTTTAAAAGATCAGTTGTTACTAATTGTTGCACCGTTATAAGTTATAACTATAGTAAACAAGTAACAGGTATTGTGTAAAACAGCACTACGGCCTACGGACGAAGGAAAAACATTTTGCAGTGATGTAGGCTGTTTTGGACGACAAGCATGCATATGTACAATAATTATTGTGGAGTTTAGTTTTAGACGTCTTCGGCGAATGATAAAGTCGGACATCTATTATCAGCATTCCTCTTAGTTAGGTGTATTCATTTCTAAATTTTACCACTGTAAAATTAAACGCTGCTGTCATGGTTTTAAAATGTATGAATCACGATGTAGGTAAAACCATGGCTAAATAACTTTTTATTTATTTAGTTATTTAGCCATGGGTGAGTCTATATCTGACGGCACTTTGGTTTGCGCGCCTTCCGCCAGGTAGCGCTAAAAAGGCCGATCAACAACCGGCTGCTATAGAGAAGGCCGTATTGTAATGCCGTTTTGCCTATTATCCGCGGTAGTTTTAAAATTTCAGACTTCAGTATTCAATATTCATTCAAATTTATAATAAATATAATCAAATATGCACTTTATAATATTATAATTTATAATACTATTTAATACTATTGACGTAAAAATAATAACTAAACTCTAAAGTGAAGAATAGAAGGATTCTCTATTCCTCTCTCGAGGTTGTTTGTAGCTTTTTATATATTTATTTTGTTTTTGTTATTATTATTTTTTTTTTTTTGTCTTTCTAGTTATATTTTTATTTATCCCTTTGTTATTAGCTTAATATGTGTCAATTATTATGTAATATTTTTTTTTCTTGTAAAAGAGCGTATGTCCGTTGATTATTAATAAATAAATAATTTAGACTACATATTCAAACATTGTATTTGTTACTCGTATTAAAAATAAAAAGTCTCTAAGAGATAAATTAGAATGTAAGAACCCTAGAGAACATTTTGATTTAAATGACATAATGCAAACATTGAATTTGTATTAAAAATCAGACTGCTCTTTATTATTGGTGTTTTTGTATAATTAATTGTATATTTAATTATTTTAGTATTAAGTTATATACCTACTTATATGTATTGTATAGTTTTATTTTGTCTTAAAAAAAATGTTACATAAAGATCAGTAAAATAATAAAAAAATTTGTGGACGCAGGCTTCCTCTCGGTGGTCAACGTGTTAAGTATTTCGTTAGAGGCATGTTACAGTACATAATTAAATGTAAAAAATATTATAATTTAAAACAAAACAATAACTATCGGGTAAGTGTTACTTGTGATGGATGGAACATGGCTGGTACATTCTTCCCTGCTGATTTTATTATTTTAGTGTTACTTAAGTAACCAGACTCGCATGCGGGAACAAAACATTTGTTGGGCATATTAATCAGCACAATATGAAAAATGTTTAAAAATAATAATAAGTTTTACTAGTTCTAGGTAGGTGTGGATGGTTATATTTCTACTATAGCCTATAGGTAGTGTGGTACTGTGGTACTATAGAATAATAAAATATAAATAAACAAGTTTATCAATATGTTAATAATATGTATATTATTCAAAACAAATATACTTAAATAGACAATATTGCTTATAAAATATTTTCAAATCGGCCTTCTTAGCTCTTCCTGGTGGACAATTCTGTAACTAAACTGCCGTAAAAATGGTACTCATTTATTTCTCATACGTATGATTGATAGTGATTACACCGTTTTACCTACATCGTGGTATGAATATTGAAATATAGAATAGCAATAATTATGGGCATCCAACTCATAAACTCATGATATATGTTTGTAAACTATTATAATCTATGTTCAGCGTTTACTCTAATTTTTTTCCTAATAGTCTAACACTCTAACCTATAGTGATTCACTGTGATTGAAATGAAATCATTTTTACTGATGTTTCATAAATATGAACAAAAAATCAAATCATTATACAATTTTTATATTTATTTAACATTTTAAAAGAAATAGTTTTATAATATGATTCACAATAGTTGTTGCAATTTTGGTTTTTTTAAAAATTCGTATAGGTAGGTACAACAAAAATATACTTTCTAAGAGCCTAGGCGCAGAGTACAATAACAAATTGAGTAAATAATAAAAATTTGAGCATTTCGAAGAGTAAAATGTATTAAATACGAATATAGTGTTTCGTTGTGCCTATTCAATTGTTTAATAAATTGAATATGTACATGTACATAGGAATTTGTTTAATGTATACAACATTTATCATCCCAGTCAATTTTTTAATTTTTTCAATTTTTGTTATTATTTACATATTTATAATTTTTTTAGAAATCGTTGATTTATGTTACCACAGTTACGTAAATACGTTATACGTATAATAGTCTGTTATTTACGAATAGCTGTAACAGTTAGCTGACAGCTCTCAGCTGACTAACACTAATCTGAATATCTGATCGAAAATACGAAACACTGTATAGTCTATGGGTGACCGCACACTGGTAAAGCAAAACTGCTATATAGAGACTAAAGTCGCTTTATTATGACTAATCAAAAATAAAACCTTTATATTTTAAGGAAAACACGCACACTGATAAAGCGTAGTCAAAACAAAACATTTTTGTCTTCAGTCATGAATAGAGTCCGGATTTGTATGCACTCAAAAAGACCAAAATAGTATGCATTTATGCATCAAAAAACTTCAAAATATGCACTTGATATGCTCTTATTTTTTTTAAAAATATGCAAAAATATGCTCTTATACCCAAAATACATGCATTTTAATATTTTTTTAAAAATTTCTTCCATAAATAATTCAACAAAATTAGATAAACTTCATTTTTTAATTATAGACATTAACTTTAAACATTTATTAAAGAACAGTAAATATTTAATAAAGAGCAATCCATGTTTTTATTAAAGTTGGAATAGTACTTCGACTTTTCGGCATTTTAAAATTTATAAATTGTAATGAAATGAAAATTTTAATTTATAAATTTACGGAACGCGAATTACGAAATGATATGTGGGCACTAGTGCACAATTTACCGGCGATAACATACGGAGAATAACATTTATTTCCCAAAAATACGTAATGAACTAATAATTTCAACGATGAAATTGAAACAAAATAATTGGCTTAATAAACTATTATACAAAATATGCATGAAAAAAATTTTAAACATGCAGTCATCTCTAAAATATGCATTTATATGCAAAATAAACTTTTACCTATTTATTATCTGTTGCACAAATCGTCCATATTTCTTACTCCCATCGAAATGCATACACTCATTACAAATATGTAAATGCATACAAATCCGGACTCTAGTCATGACTAATATTGTTTTATGGAAATAGAACCTGCGCTATTTTCATTAGTCATTGTCAAGCATTCACTGGATAATTATATCAAAATTATGCCAAATATTATTTATTTATGCTAAACTGTCTACAATATAAAGGTAATTATACATTATATATTATAATATATTATACATTATACACTATAACTACAAGTACTGAAATACGTAATTTTGAATTGAAAACATTTATTTTATTTTTTGTTTTTATTTTTAAGTACTAATAAAAAAATTTAAATATCTATAACATCTGTACAAACTAAATATTTTAACTATAATATATAAGCTCAAATATGTTTAAGCAACTTAAAAAACTTATTTGAAACATTATTTTACTTACTTTAATCTAGGATTTCCACATAAAGTTTTTCAAGCAGTGGAAATTCAAAAGATGATGTGTCACATCGAACTGCAGAATTCTTTAAAAAATAAAAACAAATTATAAAATATCAGATAGAATTTAAATTTAAAAATAAAAATGGGAAGGGGTGTATGGGCGCCCACAGGCATATGAGTTTTAAGAATCAAATTTAAAAAAATGTATAAAAAAATGCACATTAAAACAAATATTAAAGACTGTAGTCTACAATATCAGTTTTCCTAAGCCCATAGCTTTATTTACGATAATTAGAACATAAAACAATGAACTTGAGTACAATTATTGAAAAAAAATTTGAAGGGGATTATGGGCGCCCGCAGGCAAATGAGTTTTAAGAATCAAATTTAAAAAATGTATAAAAAAATATGATTAAGTATAAATTTAAAAATAAAAATGGGAAGGGGTGTACGGGCGCCCGCAGGCAAATGAGTTTTAAGAATCAAATTTAAAAAATGTACTTTAAAAACAAATATTAAAGACTGCAATCTACAATATCAGTTTTCTTAAGCTCATATAGCTTTATTTACGATAATTAGAACATAAAACAATGTACTTGAGTACAATTATTGAAAAAAAATTTGAAGGGGATTATGGGCGCCCGCAGGCAAATGAGTCTTATGAATCAAAATAAAAAAAATTATAATAAAATATGATGAAGTATAAATTTAAAAATAAAAATGGGAAGGGGGCATGGGTGCCCGCGGGCAAATGAATTTTAAGAATCAAATTTAATAAATGTATAAAAAAATTTACATCAAAAACAAATATTAAAGACTGCAGTCTACAATATCAGTCTTCCTAAACTCTTAGCTTTAATGTCAATAATTAGATAATGAACCAATGAATTTTTATGAGGTACTAACTTGCTATCAAATTTAAAAAAGTTTTTAAAAAGTTTAAATAGAGTTAAATAATAGAAAAAAAAATTGAAGGGAGGCATGGGCGCCCGCAGGCCAACGTGTTTTAAGATTCAAAATAAAAAAAATATTAAAAATTTAATATAATTGATATTTAAAAATAAAAACGGGAAGGGGAGTACGGGCGCCCGCAGGCAAATGAATTTTAAGAATTAAAAAAAAAATGTATGAAAAAATGTGCATTAAAAACAAATGTAGAAGACTGCTGTCTATAATATCTGCTGTATTTAAGTATACTAACCTAAACTCATAGCTTTATGCTATTTTATGCTTAATTATGAAAAAATGTGAAAAAATATGATCAGAGTTCTATTGACTTTACCTCAGTACAATAAAATAATGTGTTGATTGAATGAAAGTTATTATGGGTACATGAAATTAATGTTAAAGAGTTCTAAGGGCTCATTTACGTTAAAGCTATTTTTTACTTAAATAATTTAATGGTTGAATTAAAATAATATTGTGTTTCAAACAATAACTAGCATACATTTTTAATAAGTATACAACAATTTCAAATTTAGTAATATTTGTATTTTTGTTTTGGTCTTAATTAATAAGTTAGAAAAAATAGATTTTGTGCAATGTGGAAAGAAGTCAAAAGAAAACATTTCGGGAATTCTAAGTCAAAATTATTTTAATACACTAAACCTTATATTAAATTAAAACTAATAAATAATTTAATACTGATAACCTCACAATAACTCATCATGCCGTCAACTCTCATTATTTCTTAATTAAGATTTTGTTTTATTTTTTGATACATTAGAATTTTGAAATTAGTTTTTATAATTTTTTGTGATAGACAAATCACTTATTAGTGTTGACTGTATTTAAGTTATTATTAATTATAAGTACTGGTACAACGCTAGCCGACTGGCTTTAAAACTGTGGATACAAATTTAAAAATTATGATGCTTAATTAAGTTCTAATTTCTTTTGGTAATATTTAAATATTTTCTTTTATTATTATGCTTATACAATATCGAATACCTTGGTAGTTGGTAGGAAAAGATCATTGCAATGCACTCGACCAGGGATGATAGTATACTACCACTAGCCTACTATCATCACCACAGCTTCACCTCTCCATAGCCCTTAGGCGTACTAACCTCTTTATAACTTATTTTAACCTTCTGTCTTAACAGCATAGTCGCGCGAGTTGGACAGTGTGGGGGGTGCTAGTTTAATCACCCCCGTTTGGCGCGCGACTGACAGAGGGTTAAGTGGGACCCTTAGAATAAAAAGATCCTTATTTGGTTTTTTATTTTTGTGTCCGCTTATCAAGTTGAACTTTTTTTTTTAATATTACAACTTGAAACAACTTGAAGCATACAACATATGCGAAAGGCGATAAAGACTTTTATATGTGCATCAACTTGAAAGTATGATTAGATGTACATTTAAGAAGTAACTTGTTAGTATTAATATTTTATAAGCATGTGTTGGCCCCGTGTTACAAGTGCTCATCAATGTGAGCAGATCTCATTTAGCAATGAAAGTTTCAATATTAGAGTGATTATTTGGAATTAATTATAATTAATAATTATTATTTGGAATCAACAAAGATGAATGATAACTGCTTAACTAAAATTTGATATGTTTCACACTTGTAAGACGCATTTGAACAATTGGAGACCACACATTCAGATGAAGCGTCTTTCTGAAAGTAAAATTTTTTTATTAATTATTTAAGCTTCATATGTTTTGTAGTAAATTCTAGGAAGATGTCTAGATTTGAAGCAACTGAAAAACGTATTGAAATAATTTTATTTTGAAATTCTTTGAGCATTATCTGGATGATAAACTTTCTCCCCTTCCACTGCCAATAACTGGGTAAAATAATCGTAATTTTTAGCGATTCTATGAACCGTGCACTATATGGCTAACAGCATCTTTTGTAGGGGTCACGGTTGGATCCGATCATAACACGTGTGCATGTGGAGCTAGGATTCGTCACTAAACACCCAGGTGGTCACCCATCCGGATACTAGCTACGCCGGCCGATGATTGACACCCATAAGGGACTTCAGCCAATCACCACACCACACCAAGCCCCAACTGCATTCTTCTTATTTTGTACCAATTGTATATTACATATTATTTTGTATGCCAATTTGATTGTAAATAAACCGTTCACTATGGATAACAGCATCTTTTGTAGATGTCACGGTAGGGTTCGAGTAACACTTGTGTAAGTGGAGCTAGGATTCGTCACTAAACACCCAGGTGGTCACCCATCCGGATGCTAGCTACGCCGGCCGATGATTGACACCCATTAGGGACTTCAGCCAATCACCGCGCCACACCAAGCCCCAACTGCATTCTTTTTATTTTGTATGCCAATTTGATTGTAAATAAACCGTTCACTATGGATAACAGCATCTTTTGTAGATGTCACGGTAGGGTTCGAGTAACACTTGTGTAAGTGGAGCTAGGATTCGTCACTAAACATCCAGGTGGTCACCCATCCGGAAGCTAGCTACGCCAGCCGATGATTGATACCCATTAGGGACTTCAGCCAATCACCACGCCACACCAAGCCCCAACTGTATCCTTAATATTTTGTATTAGTTATTTATATTATTATATTTCCTATTGCAACGTGAGAAATTGGCTTACGAATACTGTTTCAACCACGCCACAGGAAATGACATACAGATACTTTAACATAAACTATTACACAGGTAAAAGAGTATCCGTAACTACATATATTATACACAATATAGGTTTATTTTATTTTTTTTATTTAGATAATAATTGCAATACGTATTTTACTAGAAATATTACTTTAATATAAGTTCACTTGATAATTTCATATAACTATTAAAAAAAATTATTGTAATCATTTAATACTATTATTGTCTTTCATTAATTTTGTGTATCAACTTTAGTAGGTCAAAAATCTAAAATACTCCCCATCCAACAACAAAAAGTAAATTTGCCAATACTTGACATACATTTAAATTACTAAATTCATACTTTACTAGAAAATTCGTCACCTCCTCACATAGTACTTCACTCCAATAATAAAGATTTGGATGAGTTAAATACTTAAATATTACAATATTAGTTGCTTCCAATCTTGTAACACTATGTTTATAGGGCCTAACCACAGTTTTTCTCTGATCTCAACAAATTACTAAAGGACTAGTAATTTCATTTCATTTCTTAGAGTAATGTATAAATAGAATGTTATCATTCATCTAAGTTAAACAATGTGCTGTGATTAATTTATTATTAGGTATCTAAAATCTTTTAACTTTTATTAAACATGTTACATGCTTATCGAATATATTTTGATATTATTTACTATGTATCATTATTTTTTATCTTTGACAAACGTTTTTTTAATGAAATAGCATTTCAATATACTAATTTTGTCTAATTTCTATTGAAAAGACAAATTTACAAAAATTATTACAAGGGTAAAAATTGCCTAATTATTATGAACGAAGTGTAACTAGGGTCATAAAAAAATTGTTGTTAAAGTTATCTTATATGGCGTGATAAATTTAATGTAAGACAATATCATTATTTCATTATTTTTTTTTATATTCTAAAGCAAAATATTTTTTGGAGTACTTATGGAGATTATAGTAATCAAATTTCGGACAAGTATAGGCAGGTTTTTTGGCAACAAGTTGCGTCAATCGTATCTGCGATAAGACCAGTAACACGAAGTTAAAAGTAATAATTAAAAATGATTTCTGTGTCGACGATTGCCTCACCGGTGCAGATTCATTGATGGAAGCAATTGAATTGCGTGACGAATTAATATCAATTATGCGAGGTGGGGGATTCGAATTATCAAAATGGACTACGGACCACACGGATTTATCTCCGAATCAAAACAAAGATGAATTAAAGACCGTACCAATGGATAGAGAAAGCGTGAAAACTCTAGGTTTATATTGGGAACCAAAAAGTGATTACTACATATACGTACGTCGTACAAGTACCGTAAGTAAAAACTGAAACAACAAAAAGACATATTCTTGCCGGCCTAGCAATACTTGAATTTTTTTTGAAATGTTTAAATTTAAATTAAAAAAAATTATGGTAAATTGAGTGTATCTTATACCTATACTATTGATTAAAAAAAATACAGTCAGTGGAATCAACATAAACAAATATCCGCCGAAATTGATAGCCGGTGGAATCAATAAATAAAAAAGCTTGGCGGAATCGATAGCCGGCGGAATCAATACAAACAAATATCGGGCGGAATGGATAGCCGGCGGAATTGATATTAAAACGGCGGAATCGATAAAACCCTGTTATTTGACCCATTCGTCTTAGCAGGTTCGGTAATATTGGTGGGTAAAATATTGTTACAAAGTTTATGGATTGAGAAAATCGGTTAGAACAGCCCAGTTCCACCACACATACAAGTACAGCGGGAGACATACAATAATTGTCTAAACGAGCTCAATTCATTTAGTATACCTCGTTAGCTGGGCTCCGACAAGAAAAAATTAATAGAGATTACACGGATTTGCTGATGTATCCACGAAAGCACACGGTGCATGTATATATGTTACGCGCAATGTGGAATACCGGGCAATGTAAACCACGAAATACGATTTTTTTTTAACCAAAGAGTATTATTTTTTATTACTATTACCTATTTATAGTATTGATTTTTTTTTTAAATAAAATATTAATATATTAAAATTAAAAAAAAAAAATTAAAAAATTAAATATAATTTATTTAAACAATTTTTTATTTTTATTTTAAAATCATTATTAATTTTATTCATTTATCATAATACAATAAATTATGAATTTGTTGAAACATTGTGTATAAACTTATTTTTGTTACTTATGGTACTGCCTATTTAAAAATCAAGTATAGAAAAGCAGACAGACTATGTAATTCTAAGTGTCATATGCTTCTAAAACTTGTTCAAATAAATAGGTAAAATTATAAAAATAAAATGATGATACTTGTTATTTTTTTTTTTTTGTTTTCCATCAAAATATTCGTATTATAGTACATGAATAAAATTAATAATGATTGTTTTAAAAAAAAAAAATTATACTATAAATAAGTAATTATAATAATTTATAATAATAATAAATAATAATAATAGTTGGTTAAAAAAAAATTCGTGGTTTACATTTCCCGGGCAGGACCACATTGACTGGGTAATGTACACATTGTCCGGTATTCCACATTGCCCGTAACATGATATATATGCACACAACAGACAAGGATGGAATCGTTAAATCGCAATTAGTAGGTGCTAATAACTTAAGTGTCGTATCGCGCCATTAAAGGTTATTTCAGTGCGTTACATGTTTCAAAGCACAGCCAAAAAATGTGTCGCTTGTAATAGGTAATCTGCCCACGCTCCGAGGTAGTTTATATATATTTTATTAATATTAATAGTAACAGTCTTACTACATTTTAAGTAAAAATACGTTAACTGGTTCAACTAAAGAAAATTGTTTGTTATTAGATGTGTTACCATTTGAGTCTGTTTATAAGAAAATAATAATTGTATATATAATTAAAAATTTTGAATCATATCTGGATATTAATAAGGTAATAGTTAAAAGAGAAAATAGAGCATTTGATGTTAAAATGGAATATCCTAAAAAAACGTTTCGTCAATAATTCATTGATTATATCTAGGTCCACAAATGTATTACTTAATGCGCCAAGAAATATAAAAAAAGGACATATTCATTACAGAAGGTAATCGTATATTCGATTACTACAGGAATGAAAAAAAAATTCATATTTGGTTATTTTCAATACTTTAATAAATTATAACGAAATATATTTTAACTTTGTAATTTAATATTAGTATAAGTATTCTAATTGTATATGTATTGATTACTAAATTCTTGTAAGTTTTTTTTTCTACTTATAATTATGTTATATAACTCTCTACCACCATCACAAGCAAGTGCTTAAAGGTGCTAGATAATTTTTGTTTTTCTTAAAATAAAAAAAATAAAAAATTGGATTGGTTTTGACGCTAGGGTAAAAGAGATCAAAAACCCATGGTTTGACATAGAAATACGTCTTTTCATATTTTTTTGTTCAACTTGATGACACTTTTGAGAGGATGTCTACGCACTATTTGTTGCTCTTTATGTCCCACACGCAACAAAGCAAATTTATGTTTAGCAGAACCAACCATTATTAAAGTAACAATATATGGTTGGTTCCGATACATTAATTGCTTTGTTGTGCGTGGGATACAGAGAGCAAACAAATAGTGCTCTGACATCCTCTACCAATCTTTTTATTCTATCCCATAAGTCAAGGTTTTCAACCTATTGCTAGGTAGTTTTTCAGCTGATTGCTTTAGTGTCCTTTGGAATTCATGAACCTTTCCTACGTATTCGATATTGTTAACCAAACTATTCTACCTCCACACTTCCTATTCTCCCTCCCTAAAAGTCTCACTCACTCTCCGCTCCCCCCATCACCCTTTCACCCTCAGTCTTTCTCCCTCCCATTTCTCTCTTTCTCTCTCTCTATTACCCCCTTTTTTTCCATCTCACTACCCCTCACTCTCTCTCACACACACACACACACACACAGTCTCTATAGTGCCTACAGGTCATCGTACCTGATAATCGGTGAAAATATTTAAATATTACAAAAAAAAATTTTAAACAAAAAGTAAAATAAATTTCATACCTGACCAATTTCCTAATTTTATTGATAGCCGGAATAGCGTTATACCAGTAGTTGCAGAACAATTAAATTGAAAAGTTGGGGGCAATACAAACTCTGATCATTTGACAATATTAAATAAATCTACTGAAAAATAAAAAGTACATACCACATGTTTTCTGCTATACAACCAAGTCTTTGAAACATTCACGTCAACACATTTCCCACTGCATAATATGACATTGTATTCAAAATTGGCAAATTTTCACAGACGAATACCATCTCTGAAAAAAAAGTAGCCTATAAAGTAAAATGTTCAACAAAATACATATGAGCTATTTGTTATTAGAAATTACAGATATTATATAGCTAAAATAATATATTTAAGTTTTAGCTTTTATCTTACCTATACTTGTTATTATGTGTTAATTTGTGTATTAACTATTTTATTCAAAAACGTATAAGTTTTATACCTTACGAAAGTCATGTTTCTTCACTAGGCACGGCAAGTTGTTATCTACTAGAACACTGCTACTGGTTCATTTTTATTTTAATAATAGTATAATACACAGGGACTAGTTACCATTACTGATTAGAAAGTGTGTTTATTTTATTTCAATATTTTATAAATATCGTTCAAATCAATTATTTTTATAATTAATTAATAAATAATATATTAATTCCTCAAATATTGTGTTTAAGAAAATAAATAATTATTGCAATAAATCAGAGTTAGATAATATGTTATGTGAGTACCTATATGTAAAAAATAATTTAGTATAATAATAACTGCAAGCCTGGGCTAGTTAATGAAAATTTTTAACTGAGTTAAGTTAAGTCGATATAAAACATTTCAAAAAGTTTTAAGTTAATAGTTCTCCTAATTTTATTTTTAATTCAGTTAAGTTAAAATTGATTTGGAAACTTACAACTAACTTATTATTTTTTTTATGTTCATAAATAGCCAGTTTTCGGGTTTTAAAAAAATAAAAGTGAATTTTGATGTAATACGTATCAACATCAATATACTAATTTTTACTATAACATTTATTATTTAATTTTTTATAAACAAACTACGCAACTTGGACTTGATTAAAAGTAACTCATTATTTAATAAATGTTTAGCAATAAAAATCAGTTAAGTTAAAAATGTTAAGGTATTGAAAATTATATTTAAAAAAAGCTGGTATGTGGAGGTCGCTCTGCTGCACATTAGGTTACAATTGGGTAACTCAAATGGACGGTGTTAAGTTTGAATTCAACGATAAAAAATCATTGTATACGAAAAAGGATTCTGAGCGAAGACGGTCTGTCAGTCTATAATATTACTTAATAATTTAGTATAATCGATGATATTATTGTGATTAAAGTAATTTATTTTACTAGTAAAATACAGTAAAATATAGTAAAATACGCAGTAGATTAAATTCATTAACAAAAAAGTACATTTAAAAAGTCATTGTGGGTATCAAATATAATAATATACTTTAAAAGTTTCAAGTACCCATGAATAATATTTTTAATTTACAACGAAATAACATCAATCATTATTCTTGGCAATTGAATCTTTAATTTAGTTCACATTTGAACATAAAACATCTGTGATAATATTTTTTTGATTTTTTAATAACAGAATAACCTACTTGCTTGGAACTTTGTTTTGAATTTTTAACCCTAACCTAAAAATTTGAATATTTCAAAAATTTTAAATTATAAAATTATTTGTACATTTTAAATGATGAGAATTTTGTTAAAATTTAAACTTTAAATGCTCATTACAAAAATCGTACCTATGTATTTTAAATATTTTTCAACTAACATTGTAAATATCTATCAGGAGAATTTTATTGAATTTTCAAGCTTTTTTGCCCAACAAATACAATTTTATGAACAATTAATATTTTATTAACATTTTAATAACCTCCTAAAAAAAAACTAAATAAACTAAAAAAATTTTTAATTCAAATTGTTTGTAAACAGCAAAATTGCATTAAGTATATGAATTGAAAATATAAACAAATGATGTGAATTTCAAATATCTGCAATTACTGGTTTTTTATTATAAAAAATAAGTAAAAATCACTACATAAGAAATGGAGTGAATATCCAATGTTGTCAAAATTTAAACATCAAATGCTTACAAAATTTTAATTCGACTTTCCGGTAGAATTTTTTTTATTGGTAAAGGCAGACAAACTTATAAGGAATCTTGTATTAAGTTTTAAAAACTTAAATATAAAATGAAACATTTTTATGAATTTCTAACTCAAAATATTATGCACATTTTCGTGACTTTTACTTAATTTGTCAAAATTCAAAGTTCAAACTCTTATAAGAATTTGTTGTCAAAATTGTATGGTTTATAGAAAACGCCGTTATAAATATTTAGTAAAAATTTCATGTAAATCTACGGTATTTTTTTTTTTTTATTTAAAGTTACATCAAAAACCAAAATCGATTTTGTCGAAAACCGGGTTTCCGTAAAAATTCACTTTTTTCCTTAATTTTTTTGTTTGTTTTTCCTGCCGCTCTTGAAAACTATTGAGAATTTTTTACTTTTGTCCCCTCGAAGTACCGATACTATTCAAATTTCTACCAGAAAAGATGCTTGTCTAAGAAAATCTAAGCCCTTTTATTCTCCCAAATTAACGTGATGACAGAAACAAAATAAATAAATTGTAAAATCAATGCATTCATCTCTCCGCTCGGAATCTGAAAGAAGTTAAAAAGTCAAAATTTACATAACTTAAATTTTTTAACTCGTATACACCCAGGTTTGAATAACTACAACATTTTTGAATATTTGAACGCCTGTGCCTATTTATTTCATTACTATTTAGTATTTATTATATTATGTAAAGAAACCTGTACTAGTATAAAAGTATATTTTTCATAATCACTAGTACGGGGTGATTACTTTTTAGGATAGTGAGTTTACAACTCTGTGAACATTATTGTTTTTTGGAAACAAATATAATATAATGAAATATTAATATATTATAATAGAACAATGAAATATATATAACACTAAATTAATAGTGTCCTGAAACAGCTAACTTTGAATTTAAAAAAATTATAGGTCATAAATTAAAATTGTGCCTTATGAGTAATCACTTATAACGGGTATTTCTAAATTAAACCGTATAATGAATGTCTATTTCAAATACTTAAAAATAGGTTATAATTATAAAATTACCCTACGATCAGGGAGCAGAAAAACGACGATGACGAGCGGCTTTTGTATATTATTTGATCTCTCGTATTTTATGCATTTGCTCTCAGAAATAAAATAATATGTGTGTAAATAGGGGTAGCATATTTTTCATGAAATTAAATTTTTATTTAAAAAATAAATTTAAACACCAAAAAAGTATGAAACTAAAATTAATTACTTTAAACATCGACGCTTTAGGGCTTTGCCAGAATTCCTGATATTGTGTGTGTGCACTGCGGAATAAATCAGATAAACGACTGAACTTAAGTCTGAAAATATTGAGATTTATTATGAAAAAAAAACTGTACGGATCGCTTTATGTTCCTTGATCATGTCTGCAGCTTTGCTAACTGAAATTTTAGATCGATTGCGTCTTTGCAACTACTTCGACAATCGCCACGGATTGTGTTATAATTTATACAACGTCAATATGATAAAACCATAGATGTATAGTATATTACAAAATTGTATATCAAGGAGGTCCGTGCTTGAGATTTAATCATTAAGATAATGAAATGAGGCACGACAATAACCAAAATAGTTTATAATTTTAAAATTTAAATTACAACAATATATAAAGTACCTATTATTTTAATAATTAATTAAGGTGGTGTTTAAATATTCGAAGCACAAGCATATTTATTTATGAGATATTAAATAAAAATCTTATTGTAAATAAATGTGATTACTACTTTTTAGATTTAACATAAAGGTATTCAGTGCCCAATGCATCACATTTACGGTACATCGACTATACCAACAATAATTTGTAAAATTCCAAGTTGAAATCTTTTCTCTGAATACGCACGAAATTAATAATTATTATTTGTTGTATTAATTTTGAGTGCATTGGTTAGGTATATTTTAAGCTATTTGAGAATATTTAAAATTTCCTTATTTAATTTCCGATACATATTCAATAACCAGCAGAGCGACTTTCCCAGCTTTATAAAATAATTTGATGTTTGATGTACGACGGCGTCACTTGGCTCGACCACAAGCAGACGGCATAGTAATATTTATATATTTCTCAACATTTATATAAACTAAAAATAAAAATTTTTGAATTTTGCGGGACATAAGAAAATGTACTGTACTACTGTAGTATGATTACTGACTAGTATGTACAACACTATTTATATCTAATTAATTGTATAAATATGTTAATATTCTGCGACCTGGATATGCCGTCGTCGTTTGTGCTGTAAGCGTATTTTTTTGTGTAGCGCGCTAGGGAACAAAAAATATGCCCCTACTTTACCCGGGTAGCAAATTGTCTGTGACAATAAATTTTGATTTTGAGACCAAAAAGTAAAATATGTAAGCCCCAAAAGAATAAGTAATCAAACTTACGTATGCTCTTCGTATATCGACTGTTCGGGGAATATATAGCTGCAAGGACATATCTGGAGTCCAGACGCCATATCGAGGAACTTCTTTCTTCATCTAAATCCGAAATGAAAAAATCGAGATTTTTTATAAAAATTACTTGAGTAGAATGAAATATGCGAGCAAATGTTTATTGTTGCCTTACACATTTCTCTTTTGTTCAATGAAATTATTAGAATTGTGAATCGTCTCATACGAGTGACGACGATCGGCTTTTGCCATAGATGATAGATATAATATAATATGTTGTTATCAGTTTTCGAGTTTTTGAATTCTTTGGATGACACATTGACACGATACATTTTTTATTTCAGATTCCGAAACATAATATTATTCGGAGTGTTTAAATCTAAACAATTCAGAACACGGAACTCTGCGTATAGGTCATTTAGATACACTACTGTCGCGAGTCCATTTTTTTGTCCGGCATCTCAGAATATTGTTTTTAGTCTTAACACTCTTAACGGTTAAACTATAACCTAATATAAAACTCTAGAAGTGTCGAGACATGAAAAAAATTCAAAATTAGGCTTTGAAATTTACAGAAGTAATAAAAAAATGGATACTTTAATCGTTAATATAATATTCTCTCTGGGCTCAGCATTAATATGTTATCAAATAATATTATTCTGTAATAGTATGCAGTATTTGCTAAAAAATTGTGTGATTATATTATACTACTACACTATAGTGTAATAAATAATTTAATATATACAGCTGTTTAGGTACCTAACTAAGGCTCTCACATAAAGGCAAGTGACTGGGGAAAAAACCTTATGACCAAGGATCGAGACTTATAGCATTTGCATACTTTTTTATTTATTGTAAAATGTAGCAGCGTACGAAATAAATTCATACCAAATCTAAAATTTGAATGTGCCTATTTTGCATAGTTCATACATTTTGCCGGAAATCGCTTATTTGTACGTTATTGTGCTTAATTTGCATATTTTGGAAAATTTTTCGAAATTTCAACTTCACAAATTTCACCCCATCTAAAAAGAAAATAGTAATGCAGGTTACTCGCAGTCTTATGTACCTATTTGCTATGTACAACTCACCCTTATAATTTTCGTGGTTTGAAAGTGTGCCATCCGCCGTTGAAAAACGACTGTGTTTCAACTGTGCTACGTCGAAAACTATACCAAGTCCAACAATAATTTTTAAATCATCATTCAGCAATCTCAATGATATGGAGTTTAGTTTGAAAGAATACAGTGAAGTAAAAAACTAAATGCACAGAACTAAACTGTTTGGGATTTTTAAATGTAACGAGAATTCTAGTAAATCATTTATTTATTGAAACAGATTAAATTACTGAATATCAAGAGTACTCATTAGCTGACTTGCAGTGTTGTCTGGCAATTGACAATAACAGGTATTGTATATAATTCTTTCAAAATAATATATTATTTAATTAATTGTTTTAAATAATTTTTAGATATTTATTATCCGGAGCAGTTTTTTATGGACATGATCATTATATAGCGTATGTAAGCCGTGTAAATAGATGGGAAGTGCACAAAGATTTGGCAAAAAAAATTAAAAGTACCCCTAATTCAACAAAAATAAAACCACATGTAATTTTATATGTGAAAGAGTAAAAAAAAGATATGTACATTGGTACAAAAAGTCAACTATAGCAATAAGAGATGTGTATTTTTTTAATTAAACAAAAAGACAAAAAGGTTATATTTTATTATTTTTAAATTTATATTAAGCGTTTGTTACAAGATAAATAAAAGTAATAAGAATCAATAATTAATTAAATCAATTTTTTTTTTTCAATTTTCCTTTTACCAATAATTCTATTATAGTGATATGACTCCAGGATCCGGCACCAAAATGAGAAAAAGTTCGCAAATGATTGAAAGAGTATGGTGGCGAAAAATGTTTTTGATGTATCGACCTGACGTTTTGTAATAAATGACGAGAACCATGAACCACGATTTCTAACTTTAATAATTCTTTTTTTCATTTATTAAAAATTAAAATGTATCAACATATTTCATGTTACAACAAGTTAGTTATTAAATAACGGTAACAATGACAATTTAATTTAAGATTATATATAAAATATAATATTTGAATTTTAAATTTTGTATTCGTGTTATTGATGTGGGGAATATGTGGTGTGTGTGTGTGTGTGTGTGTGTGTGTGTGTGTGTGTTATGGGGTAGGAGTTACAGGGAGTGTTATTTAATTAGGGATGTTAAAACAGCAAGAAGGGGGTTAAGTATAGATTTTAGTTCGTCGAGGAATTTGGTGATGATGTGTAGAGATTGATCGGGTGGTGATTTATTGGCTGCGATTTCGGCGTATGACGTTTTTTCTTTTGAGTTTGAGTTTGAACTGAGGGCTTCGTTTCCACTTCTTCGAAATGAAGGTGGTTTAGCAAGAGTTGGAACAGGTTGATTTTCTTTATTTATTTTTTTAACTTTAGGTTTGGTGTGGTTTAATATTTTTTTAAAGGATTGGCATCCTTTATAGTTTGCAGTATGGTTTCCACCGCAATTTGCACATTTTGCCGGGTTCTTCCCGTTGTTTTGTGCATTCTTCAGTAAAATGTTCTTATCCGCATTTCACGCAACGCAGATGGTGGTGACAGTAGTTACGTGTGTGTCCGTAAATTTGGCAGTGGTGACATTGAGGAGGACCGAGTTGTCTCTTTGGATATTCGAATTTGACGATTGAGTTTAATATTTTGTTGATATTAAGTATTTCACGATTGTTGGTATTACGAGCCAGGCTTATATTAAATAGAGATAGTGGAACTTTGTTCGCACGGTGTGGTATATTTGAAATACTGATTTCTTTGTGACCAAGGTCACTTAAGCAATTTATAATGTCCACGGTAGGAGTGGAGTAGTGATGGTGGCGTAGTACGACACGGGAAGGTTGGGATGAACGGGGGAGATAAGAGTGGTGCTCGTAATCGACTTCAACCAGATAAAATTTAATGGCCATCCAATTTTCATGTGTGTTCGACCGAACGGTAATGTTCGATCTATTAGATTTGCATTTGAAACCCCCTGGTCCCACTATGCTAGTTAAATATTTTTTGAGGATTATGAAATCGGTAACGTTTTTTAATACGATAGTTGGAAGTTTTATCTTACTCGGTTCTGGCGAGGTCTTGGTAGTTTGTGAGACTAGCTGAGATTCTGTTTGCACTAAAACATTGTCTTATTCCTTCGTTGCTAAAACTTGGAAACGATTTGGTGTCACGAAAAATTTACTTTTCTTCTCCTCGTGAATTGGGAAGTTTGTGGAGGTCGACGAGTGAATTCTCTTTGTAGAGTTTTCCATCGATTTCTTTCTCCGATCAGTATTTTTGTTTAGAATAACAATTGGTGAAACCGTAGCCATTAAACGTTTTTAATGCCTCATTAGTCATTACGGTAGGTAATTAAATGATAAGATACAATACGCGACGCATTACGAAACTGCGGCGCACTAGCTATCGCTTTGACTGTCTGACTAACTTTAATAATTAAAAATTAATAAAGTACATTTAAAATGAATACAATTTGAAGATCTGAAAAACATAATCTATTTATTAACAAAACAAAATAAAAATTGTTATTAATTAATGTGAGCTCTTATTTGACGACCATGAGCTTATAATATTCAATAACCCATGTTATGTTCCTACAAATATAGAGTAAAAAGAATTAATAAATACATTAAAAAAAATAAATTATTAATTTATGTTTATTGTAAATTGTAATATTACCATGTATTAAGACTATAAGGGTAAGAAACAATATTATTCTATATTAAACTTATATTAAATTGTAGCCCGATATATTCTGTAAAATAATTCTGTAAATAGTGTATTTCAATTGTGTATTACATAATATAATTTTAAATTGTACTATAAACTATACCTACGTAATTATAAATAAGTTAGCGGCTATTTGCAAAATGTTAGCAGCATATTTAAATTCGTAGCTCAAAAGGGGGTGTAGCGTGAAGTTGCCCCCCATCTTATATTTTTCATACCGTGTGGGTAATTTATTTGCAAATTCTGAAAACCAATTTGCAAATATTTGCAAATTATTTACAAAATTATAATATAACTTTCAAAAAAATTGGTCATGGTGGGGCGGCCAACTTCACGCACATGGGAGGCCATACTACAGCATAGGTCTTACGTGGTTGAGACGACAACAATTATCCGCCGCCCGGATGTGTATTCTTAACTACCCTACGTTATTTGTCTAACGCCTAAACGTACGAGACACCTACTCAGAAGATTCCATGTACATCAATTTGAGCATTTAAGCCTTTTGTATTCAGCAGCGAATGCTGCATTAAACATTGTTTACCCGATGAAATCCGTAGGATCTGGCCATTATTATTATTGCATATACATAGTTAACAAAATACATGTAAGTATCATGCTATTGAATGCAAATACATAGCATTTTCTGTTGTTGTAAAAAACTAAAATATTTGTGTCGCATAGATACACTATGCATAATAATATTATATAGTCCTGCATCAAATAAATAGTTAATTTTTTTAACATATATTTATGTGTAACCATACAATTAAGATATCGTTACATGAATATATTAGCAGTATACAATTTAACGTTACTCATTCAATTTAGAGTGAATTAATTATGAAATACAATATTATATCATAACACTGAGCATTACTGGTCATTTTAAAATATTGTATTTTATTTATTATTATGTATTTTTGAGTAAATATCGTATTTAAATCTAACTGCAGATTTGTGTTTAACTTGTTATACGTATATTTATAATGGACTTTTTATTTGAAACAAAAGCAGGGTATATCATAGACATTTGTTTGATCTATTTAATTATCTATTTATATGACCGTCGATGAACTTTTTTGTAACTATTTCACATTACATAGTTGCAGAATTATTTATACTGCATGAAACCCAGAAAAATTATGCTGATTTAAAATGTATGATATCTTAGTTATTTATTAACAAGATTATGAAATTAAAATGTACCAATATGTATTGATTTTTTTTTTTTTATTATTAGCTTTTAGTGTAACTATGATAGCTCAACAATTATTGAATATGTATTGATATTGTAGAAAAAAAAGAAGATTATTCATTTCTTTTCTTTTATTTATGTGAAGTGTGTTAATATGTATTTTAAAGTTTTGATTTATTGAGTATTGTAGGTTTAGGGGCAGGGGGGTGTGGGTGGCTCTGCCCTCCACAACTCTGTGATGCATTCACAGATTGAGCACCCTGCGTTTTAGAGGTCTAGTTGCGCCATTGCATATAGATAACTTAGAAGACGATAGTTTCGTTGAAGAACCTATAGGGTCAAAATTCGCAAGTCTAAAAGAATTATTTTTATACTACCTGCTATATTTTAAATTCTGAGTGGAGCGAAAAAATGAAAATGTAAAATAGTTGGACAAGTGGGTACCGCTCTGCTGTTCAGTAGTTGTCAAGCATGTCGTTGTAATGGATATGTTATAATTTAATTCAATGATAAATCATTGTATAAAATAAACGAATTTTTTTTTTTTAAAGCACATCATTGTAAAATCAATACATTATTTCGCTATGCTCCGCTCAGAATCTAATATCTAATTAATTAGAATTTGTTATTAACTTACCTCAATGCCACCAATAATTTCTCTTCTGGAGTGATACTTTTTCTGAAATTAGTATCAGTTTTTCGAATTTAATCGTTAAGTATTTCTAGAATATAATCAAACGCGTCGGTACTCATTCGTGTAAAATTCCTAAATTTACATTCGTAATTTTGAAGTTCATGAATAAAACATTTAACTGTATTATTTTCAGTTCGTTTCAAGTTCAAAGGATGAACCCAAAGATTTTTTTTCCTGTTCAATTTCTCTTAAAAGAAACCATAAAATAGGAATAGCAGCTTCCTCCTCGTCGGACGACATTTTGACGACTACTTGATATACTTTGATTTGGCTAACTATATTTTATCTAGTGAGAGACAACAATGATTTATTATGACTAAAGCAAAATGACTAAATATGACTTACATTTCTTCAGTCAATTTTGCTTTACCAGTGTGCGGTCACCATATGTCTATGAGTCATATTGGGAAAACATAAAAACAGACAAACACAATACAGTATTATGATAGGTAAGTATTATAATATAGCAATTTAATTTGTATGCTTTACAATTTCATACCTACTACCTTTTATTTTAAACTTTGAATTAGTCAAAATTATATAAATAATAATATTAATATAGATACAGCTGATTCAATAATTAGCATTTCATATTCGTTCCAATATATAACAATAATCTATAAAAATTCTTTTTCAAAATATAAAAGTACAAAATATACTTAAGTTCTAAAATAAAACACAAAAATATTTTATTTTCATAAGTAAATAAATGACTTTAATTTTATATTATATACATTTCAACAACATAAAAATTAATTTAAAAAAAAAAGCTGACTACCTATTACATTAATAAAAAAATAAATCATTCCTTGTATATATAGAAGCACATTCTTGATCAGGAGTTATCTTTCAATGGAAACAATATAAATGAATACCGAATTAAAGTAATCACATTATTATAATTTGACTTGACTCTTCCCGAAATTTAAAAGCACAATCAGCTTGCAGCTTCACAGTACATAAAACAACTAAATATTTGTTGCTTTAAAATGTTGAAATTTAGAATAAATCCTGAAAATACTGAATATCTACCTTAAAATAAAATGGAAACGTTAAACGTTTAAAAAAATATTTCTTACGAATTATTAATTAAGACACAACTTAATCATAAATTATTTCAATACATACTACACAAAAGTATATTATTATAGATAAAAATTGGTACGCGAAACAATACATAAAATTATATTTGTAAACTATAAATAATATAATATTAATTTTAATCCTTATCTTAAAAACAATGTTTGTATACTTAATGTGTGTTACATACTTTATAATATACCTATATCGTTTAATATTATATTGCACTCGAATACTTAACAATGATTGCATCGAATCAAAATAATATACGTTGTCGCCTATTTACTATACCACCGTGTACTGTCCAAAAATAATATTTTAACATCTAATGTCTTACAATATTATAGATAATATTTATATTATGTATGATAAATATATATTTAACAGTCACAGATTAGGGCATTTTTCATATACATTATTTTATTTAAATAATCATCGAAGTACAATTTGATTTGGATTCATTTTAAATGCAATATTAATCTAATAAAAAATTATTCAATTAATTTTAAAATACAATCAGTTATTCTAATAAAAAAACCAATCATTTTTCGAATTATTTTTTATTTAAATAAATGTTCATTCGAATAATTATTTAGGTAAAAATATGTCCAACTTTAGCTGTTTGCAGAGCAAACTACATTAACTCGTAAACGCGTGCAAGCGTTTACGTAAGTTCGGAGAAGCAAATATAAGATATCTTCTAAAAAATAAAATAATGATAATAATAAATAATAATAAAGATGATGAATGGATTATAATGAAGCATCAATACCTTGTCGTTACACTTTAGTGGCTCACACGGAGGAGTACAAGGATGTATGTCTACACCCATATCGAAATGAGTGAAGGGTGACTTAAAATGTATTGATTGGTGGCTTATTTCTTTATGAGGCGGCCTATACAATTTTCTGGTAAACTCAATCTAGTAAACTGAATGTACAACATATTATTCTGTTATTAGGACTACCCTAATTTAACTATAAGCTTTATGATTATTATAATGATATTGAATCTGTATAAGATAAAATAGGTCTGCCTAATAAAACTTTATGTTTAAAGCATAAAGATACCAAAAAACTAATTTACACTTGATAGTTATTAAAACAAACATAGAAAAGTGTTATAGGTTTATTTGCTTACTTTTTTTACAGAATTTTATAAATCCCATTAAGGTGAAAACCCGTGTTACAGAAAATCGGGTTTCTTGCGTTGCAGTAATGCAATATAAAGTATTATAGTAGGTAAACAGTAAGTAAATATAGTAGCAGTAAATCGCTTTTATATATCTAATAATGTATGCTTTTCGGTTTAAGTCTTGTTGAGCATACCTATTTTTTTTTTAACATTCATTAGAAAATATACGATCTGTATGATAGTTACAATAAGCATATGAGCTGAAAAAAAAAAATAATGCAGTTGAAGATGAAACGTGAAGGGAGTAGCTACCCAGCAGTAACGCTCGACGTGTGAGCAGACCTAATTAATTTTTATTTGTCTTGTAGATTACAACACTGTCTTAATAAAACAATATAACGGAGCATGTAAAACGAAAAATATAAAATATAAGTCGAGATGACCTGAAGTACCCAAATTTATTATAATGTTATATTATACGAATGTTATTATTGATATGAATCAAATTTGATTGAAGCATTTTTTTTTTAAAAATAAATTGATCGTTACAAGTAGGCAGTGAAAAGGTCTCTAAAATGTCGACCCTCCCACCACGCCATACGGAAACGAATGTGCCGCGCAACTTTAACGCGGCGCGCGTCGTCACGGATAGTAGCCCAACGAGTTTTCAATTCCCGATTTGAAAAAAGTTGACAGGACGTCGTCGCCGCTGCCATCGTGGACGGAATGTCGTCTGGAGGTCGGCTTCATCTGCTGCGGCAGTGCAGGCCGTCGCGCGTGGCCGTTATACTGCACCCGACAGCCTGCCATGTGCACTGCTTCGGAGCTATACGACCGCCTACCCGCCGCGACAGACGCGGCAGCCAGTGGCCCATCCGAACGGCGGTGACTTTGCCTGCCACCGCCGCAGCCGCGTGTCTTCCGTAGCCCCGCAGCGGCATCGGCGGGAGCCGCGAATAATGCGTAATCGATTGCGCGAAAGTTGTCCGAACCGCTTGAACCGGAACGGCGGTGGTGGTGCTTGGCACCGCGCGGTGGTTGTGGTCGGCGTTGGTGCACCGCGGATGACGACGAGTACACGGTGGCCGCGGATAAGGACGACGACGGTGACGACGACGAACCTGCCGCTGTGGTCGAATTAACACCAGCGGTGGCGGTGGCGGTGCTCAAACAGGCCCGGTGCGTCATCTGCAGGTACTCGATGCTCTTGGACGGTTCGATGCCGCACCTGCCACCACCTGTAGCCGCCGGTGAAGATTCGCCACCCATACCGGAGCCGCTGTCGTGTCGTTTCTGCAGCAGCATGAGCAGCTCATTCTTTTTCCATGCGGTGCCCGGCGAGTCAGCCCTCGACACGCTCGACTCGGACGCCGCGAACCCGCGGCTCTTGAGCTCATCGAATATGTTGCGCGGGCGCCGCGGCCGGCCGCAGTAACACTTGTCGCTGTCTGCGCAGCTGTCAGAGTCGCAACTACATGACACCAGTGACGTGGTAGGTTCCGCCGCGCCGTCGCCGCAGCAACTGCACCCGTCATCGTCAGCCACACCACCCGCACTACACTCAGAACAGCTAAAGTAACCACTGGATGCCCGGTGCAGGCAACCGGCCTCGGACGCCGTAGCTGTTCCTCGACCGCCGCCTCCGCCACGCTTTTTGGACGTCTTTTTGTAGAGCTGTGGCAATTGCTTCAACAGTTGTTGTTGGAGCTGTTGATGTTGCCGTTGCCTCATCGCTGCGGCCGCAAAAAAGTCACTGTCGTCGGAAGTGCTGCAGATGGGTGACGACGACGTGGCAGACGGCCGGCGACCTTTGCTCGCTGACATGACTGCTGACCGTTTGACCGCAGCAACCCGCCGTTGAAACTTACGTTCCGGTTTTCGGTCCGCTGGCCGGACATCTGTGGACGACCCTGCTATTGCCAAACACGAACATCGACGTCGCCTTTGTTGTTGTTGTTGTTGCTGTTGTTGTTGATGTTGCTGCAGTAATTGTTGTTTCCGGGACGCTCTGTTCCGGTTGCGCTTGCAAAAATCCGGCAACAGCACAGCGCCGATTCGTGACTTGGCCGCCCTCAAGCTGAACGCATCGCGCAGCTTGTCATTGAAACGGCGCCCGCGGCCGGCCGCCTGCGTAGCGACCGCTGGGCGCCGGTTGTTCCGCTTACGTTTCTGTTCCGTCATTATCGCCTTGGTACGCTGGTATAGCTCGTCTTTGGTAAGCGTTAAAGCCAATTTCATTAGAAACTCCTTGTAAATGGGCTTCAGATCGTTGTAAGACATCCCCTCCACGTTGATGATGGCATTTAATATGTCGTCCATGTTATTCAGGCCCTCTTGAGCGCGCAACTCGTTGAACATGTCAGAGAAACCTATGACGCCGCTACCATTGCTCCGGCGGCGGTGCCTGTCTGCCGCGGCCGTCTCAATGCCGCAACCAGCCACCCGCCTCGAATACTTAGTGGACGCCAACCCGTTAGAGTTCAGAAAACTTCTGCTCCTGGGTATTGCTACTTTGGTGAGTATGTCGCCGCCACCGTCCAAACGTTGCTGCCTAGTGCTGCGGGATTGTATATCAGCCTCCGCCGGGCCCGCAGCGCTGCTACTGTTACACACACCCCGCTGGAGCGACGACGGCTGTTTGACGGTTAATCGGAACGTTTTAGCTCCGCTGCACACGTCACCGCCGCTGCCGTCGTCTGCCCGTACATCAGACGTCATCTCCGACAGAACGCTTTCGCCGTCGTCGCCGGCGGACGTCACAGCGCTGACGGATGATGTGGACTTTTTGTTTCTGCGTGGCGGACGAGGCGGTGGTAGGGCAGGTGCCTCCTCACTCACTCCACCACCTGTGACGCTCGAACCGGCCGTGCTGCTCATGCTCGTAAACCCATTCCGCTGTCGGATGACCCGCTTGGCCGAGGGCGCGGTCCGTCGACCACCCCCCTCGCCGGCCGTCGGCGCATCTACATCTACCGCCTCCGCGGCAGAAGACATGGCCGTTACGAGGGCCCCGTATAGGTTGGCCGCCATGAGCAACGCGTCGTTTTCTGTCTCGCATGCAAACCCGTGACATTCTAGCCGCTTGCCGGCCGCTCGCGTAACCACCGCGAAGACAGGCGAGTGGTCGCCGGCCGCATCCAGCCGGGCCCTATCACCGGCGTCCATGTCCCGGAACAGTGGCGCCTTGTCCGATCCATCTGGATCGGCGATCAGTGGCAGGAAAGCGTACTCGTAACCGACAACGGCGGTGGCGGCTTCTCCGACGATTCTCCGTTGTGGCGTCGGCGACCGGCGGCGGCACACGTATTTCAGGGCCGCCCACACGGCGATTGACGGGAATGCGTTGGTCCGCTGTTCTGTTTCACCCACCCCGTTCCTGTAACGGATGGTAAGACCGGCTGCCGAAATCTCCAAGAGCCCGGAAAAGTCACGCCGCTCGTCGGTCCGGGCCTCATCGTAGTTGTCGTTGCGGTAATAACCGCAGTGAGGGATCCCACCGCCGCGGTAATGGTGTTGGTTTTCCCGGTAACCGAAGTACATATCTCGGACTGGCTTTTGAAGGCCCTCCAACGAGGATATCTTGCCCGATAGCCCCGCGCATCCTATATAGTGTACGTGGAATTTGTTGCTACTTGTTTCTGCCCCCACCGCTGAAGAGTCCATTGACACGTCTGTGTCGAGTTCCGAAGAACTGATTTCCGCAAACATCTTTTCGATTTTCTCCTGTACCGTATTCTTGTTGTTGTTATTATTGCCGTTATTGTTTCTATCATTGGTGCCGGCGGTATAACCATAATCGAAATAGCCTCCGCCTGCATCGCCGTCGTAGTGATTTGTGTCGTCGACCAACGATTTGGTCTGACGACCGGCACGGTAGCCAGACGTCCGCTTTGTATCGCCCGCAACGGAAGCGGTCGTCTTGAACATGCTGTCTATTCGTTTCTTTGACGCTATCGAACTGGTGTCGTCACTGAGCAGTGCATCGGACACCGCCGCCACCGACGCCGAAAAATCTCCTTCCGCTCCACGCAACCGAAAACTTTCCATTTCGGTTTTGATGCTCTCGTAAAAATGATGGCCACCACCGGCGTTTTGCGGGTAGTTATCCATCGTGTAACTACCGTATTCCTCACACGGGCGCAACACCATGTTGTCTCTACTGTCTCGCGAATTTCCTCCTCCTCGCTGCAGTCGATATTTCGATGGCGTCAGCTCCAATTTCAAATTTCACCTGTGAAACCAATAAGATTCCAATCTATATTATCCAGTCAATATTATTATTATGGTTAAATTATCATAATTCACATAGGTATTTATAAATGAAGGCACTCAAGATAGTGGTGAGTATGGTGGTCGAGAGAGAAGAGGAAGAGGAAGACCGAAGAAGAGAGACGAATAGGCAGAATAGTGAAAATGAAATAATATGAAAATAGCTGATGCAAGAAAATTATGAAACTGCTATGAGAGGTATGGAACAAGACATATGTGGCAGTATAGTTGGGAGAGACAGAGCAAGGAACACAAAATTGAAAATATATACAAAATGTAATTTATGTAAAATAAACCATGGTGATATATAGTAGTAGATGTGTGTTTCACTATAGCTGTTATCAAAGTATTCTCAAGACTATAGCCAGAGGGGCTAGGATTTAGACCCCCGAAATGAACAAATTACATTTGAAATTTTAAAAACTGCTAGTCAAAAAATATATTTACACTCTAAACCACCCTTGTTTCTTTTGCAGGTCTAGGCTGTTCTTGTGTTATTGTTTAATACACCAAAATGTATAATGTTTTCACTATCGGTCTCACGCGTTTAATAAAGAAACAGAGGTAATCCACGATTATGGCTCTAAGGGCTCAGTTTAGTAGGCTAGTTTGGCTTAGTTTGTATTGAAATGAAATCGAACACGATAAAATATGGTTACACTTAAACCTAATAATATGTGTAACTGCAGGTAATATTAATTATTATTTATCAATTATTAATAAACCTATCATAATATAATAATTTATAATATATATATAACATGGCTATTATAAATTATTTATTGCTATTATTATTTTATCGTTGAGTCACAATTTCTTCATCGTAGTAAATACTTATGCATTTTATTTATATATTGCTTATGTATGGTGTTGAAAGGTTATAAACTTATAAATTTAATATTTTAGTACAAGTTAGAAGTTAGAAGTTGGAAATAACTTTTTACTTTAGTCGTGCATACCTGCAATAGTGTATCCAATAATATACCTATAACCTATTACCTATACATTTATAATCAACAATAAATTTTATATTACTTCCGCGATTCCGCATAAATATATATTAAATATTTATATGCATTATATGGATTTTATTATATATTTTAACTTTTATGTCCTTTGTGTATAGGTCATCGACATCTTTGTATGGCAAGCCAATAACTATTAAGACATGAAAAAAATAAGGGTGTTAAAATACACCTTCTTGGCGACCTGGCTACCCCCTTCCAAGCTGTAATCATTTCTAAAAAAACGTTTATTTTTAAAAACCAAATAAAAAAAAAATTTTAATATCGAAAGTTTTCTAAAAATTATGACGTAGCCCCCTCCCCCCAGCCATATCTCTGAAGCCGCTCCTGTCCCAAATGATAGGTAAGTACATCAGGAGTATTATATAAGTACATTTTAGTGTGTGATATAGTACCTATTTATAATGCCGATCAGTATATTATACATATAAGATTTAGGTAGGTATACCTAAGAAAGTATTCCGTATTTTAACATTTTTATTACAAATTCTTTAGATTTCCGTTATATAGTATATTGCTATTGGCTATTGGTGTATTACTCGCACCAAAATAGCACAGTGCAATAATTGATATTGAAAAGTGAAAGGACAATACACATCGTTCAAAAACAATAAATATAAAACGTTATTATTATTGAGTGTAATTAAAACAATAAAAAACTTGTTGATGTCCATTGAAAAGTAATTTAATTTATTCAGCAGGTATTTATTATAGTACAAAAAACTTTATTCCTGTGAATTCTATATAAGTACCTTTCAATCAATAAAATATAGGTTATAGTTACTAATTGCCACTTGTAACGATATAATAGTATTAGTATATAACTTGTCTTTATAGATATTTAATTATCCTATAATAGCTTTTACAAAAAAAGTGCAGGTAATAATTTATACTATGCCGTTCGTGAAATTTTATATTCCTCCATGAACGTATTGAATTACGTAGGTACAGCATCACGACATACCTAATTAGCAATTAATGTTAATAATGAAGACTATAAATCAAAATAATATTATAATGTAATGAGACGGCTAATTTCATCATAAGTTTAAAAAATATATAGGTATGTATAGACGTATAGTGTATACTTATTTTAATATTGATCTAAGCTTGTCGACGGTTTCAAATTCTGCAGTCGACTCGATTTCTTGATTTCTATACTGTGTAGGTATTAGGTATGTTACGGATCGTGGATACACAACAGCTTTGTTATAACATTTCCGCATAGTTTTAAGCATTTAATTGAGTAAAATAAGCTTCAATATTACATGATTGTTGATTATATATTGATCTTCAATTTTAAGCAGTAGGTACTATAATATAGTAAATACGGCAAATTAGTTATAGTAATAGTACTCATATATAGGTACTTAACAGTTAGAATTTTTTTAAAGTGTAAATACTAAATTTAAAAATTGTACGAATTTAATGTAAATGAAAATGATATAATGTCATATAAAATGACACCTATTCAAAATTGAATGTAATATTGGTGAACCTCTAATATATAAAAATGCTTGTATTTTGTAGCTACATATTTTTTTTTCTACATAATTATAATTATTATTTATTAAATAACTAGAGCTCTCTATTATTTTAAAATGTTTTGTATATTATATAATCCATATATTTAAATTACAGATATGAAATTTTAAGATGTAAAGATGGATCGGTGTGGACCGATAGATGTCTTGACCCCCAGGGGGTTGATTAGCAAACCGAGCAGAGGCAGACAGAGACCCAAAGTTTACTATAAGAAAATTAAAAATCAAATAGTACAACGTATTTGGCTATTGAGTATATTAAATATGAATGTGTCGAATATTATATGATATAATAATATTTTGACTATCTTATGAATTATAGTGTACCTAAATAGGAAATAGCTGTCTATGAGTTACACAAATAATAATATAGTGAATACTGCTGGACAGGGAACATTGATCTATTTTGTTATAATTATTACATAAAGAAACGTTGACACGAGTCTGCGCTTTGATTTTAGAAAAAACCATTTCGAACGCATCATGCATTCTATTGAATTAGCCGATTCGTTTGATTATTGTGCGCTCGTCGGCCATTATTTTAAGACCATGAAATCAATTTGCCGTCAAAATAAAACCAGGCCTTGATGGCTTCAAATGATATTTGAACGCATCTCGCCAAAAAAATACGTATGGAAAAAACGCGTTAATAGAAAAAAAACATCACTGTCAAGCATATAATATTTTTGGATATAAATGTATATACCTATAGGCTATAATGTATTAATTAATGTGCATACAAATGATTACATTACATTATAACGAATAGCTGTCCCAAACAGTTATTATAGTTCGAAAGCTCGAAACCATTCCCGGAAGGCTCGTGATTTGAAGCTATAGTGTTATTTTCGGTATTTTTTCTTTTTTTAATTGAGCGCATTACATTGTACCTGCGCGTTATAAAAAGATGCGTATAGACTATGTAGATATTATGTGTAACATCGACATTTTAATAGCTATTAAAATTGTTCAAGTTAATTTCTAGAACACAGTAACTGGTTAACAATAATCTGTGTAAACCATACGTCGACTGTCCTATTCTAAAATTTAAATAGGCAGTTGCCAGTTTTACACGGGCAATTAGGATTTGAAGGTATCTATGCGTGTAATACGCGTACTTAAAATTAATGCTTGATTGATAGGATAATAACACAAACGTAATATTATTATTTGAATAATCCCGGTCCCCGTGGCGTTTCTCTGTATAATATAATACAATTTAACCTATACGATAATATTATTCTCGCTGATCCCTTCCTTTTTCAATAATAATTGCAGTTTCTACAATATTATATTCATGTTCAAATACTAATTATTATCTACTCCAATTTCGCTTTTGACCAAGTATACTATATATTTTACAAAAAAAAGGATTATAATTTATAATAATAATATAACAGCCATAAGTACTATGTAGAAAATTCAAAATATTAAAAACATGTTATAACATAATACACACCTTCCCGCGGCATGGCTGCATACCTATATGCCGAAGACAAGTTTTTAAATACCTACTGACCATTTACCAAATTAATTATTATAATTTCTCAGACTAATAGAAATATTTTTTTTAACTTAGAATTATATTAATATGTTTATATTATCATACCTATACCTATTATTCACATTATAATTTCTATTTTCTATACAATATATTTAAATTTGTCTGCTATAAGACCCACATAATTTATTCCTAGACAATTATTATATAATATACTGTGGTTTTGAATAAAATACAACCGTAGAAGACCCCGAGGTGAAGTTTCGAAGAAATTAAAAAATTTTAATAAGCATGCCTGCTCCGAACACAAAATTTGACGAAGTTGTCACCAAGGCGCTAACCCATATTCTATAGTAAGTTTTAAACTGCACCATAGACCGCATGGCCCATATTATTATTTATTACGTTATTACATAATCGTGAGGTGGTCATTGCAGTTTTATTGCAAAAGTAAACGATCATTCTTCGCACGTGGGCAGGTCGTTGAAATAACGGGTCATAATTATTAATTTGAAAGCGGTTACTGCGATGATTATCAGCTGTAAAGAAGCTTAGATGTTGTACCTTTATAATTATTTTATTTGGTACCTGTTGAATTTATAATTACATAGTATAGTTTTAAATATTACGTAACACATACAACAGTTATTACTGTTGTCATGGAGATAGAGATAATAGTTATGATTTAATATAAAATTAAAGATTAAAAATTATTATTAACTGTTTAATAAGGGATAATATAGTATTTTTTTCAACCAAAAAATAAACACTAAGTTAAACGAAATTAAACGAAATTTACACCACATACATACCTACGATTGTCTATAGTTTAATAAAAGGTGTTTTACTTAAACAGTAAAATTACCTACTAAATTTATATTGTTTCTATAAT